GCTTTGCAAGCCGAAGTATATGTACCTGTATATGAATTCAATAAAATGGGCAATGTTGCATGTTTAAAAAAAAAAAAAAAAAAATTATTATATAATGAAAACACCTTTATATTAAAATTACGGAACTTTCCGAATCGGGTATTTCAGTTATAGAACCGAGTATTTGGAGTTAAATACTCGGTTCTCGGAAATCCGAAGATCATCGACACAATTAACTAAAATAGCGATGCACGTTAATATAGCTTAATTTAGAAAATTGCGCAATAGGACAATTATCGAGAGTTGACTGTATATATATTTTGTCTGACCGGCTGTTATTTCCACAATGAATTACATTAAAAAGATTAGAGCTCTCGTCTTTAATAATAAAAGGCATGAATTGATCAACCGTGCCATTGACGAAGCTCAATTTGCAAATCCTGGAACATTTTCTCAAATAAATGAAACATATGCAGGACAGATAAAACATATCGAAAATAATTCGTATCTCACTATTAGAGAAAAAGCAAAGGCAAAAAACCACATAGTAAGTCTTAAAGACATTGAAAATTTGCTTCGCATCAAGGGTCCTGTTTACTCATGCAAAAAATGTGGAAAAAATGGATATACAATCAAAAGTTGTGAACATTGTGTCCGAAGCTTGCTCAAAAAAGGATTTTTGAATTGGACATCGGGAAATGAGTTTATCGATAAGGCTATTCAAAGCTCACAAATGACACTTCCATTACCACAATATATAGTGGAGTGGATTCCATATCAAGATCTGAAAAGGATTACATATAAAACGAAAGGAGGCTTTGCATTAATATATTCAGCTATATGGGTAAAGGGGCGGTTTGAATCTTTTGATAAAAGCAAACTAAAGCTAAAGCGGTTTGGTTCGACACCTGTTGTTTTAAAACGGCTAATTGGTTCGAATAACATGGACCCTAAATTTTTAAAAGAGGTATTTATCTTAGTAAAAATGTTTAAAATTTGTTTTTTTTATTTAAATAATACAGTATTAATTAAAGTCAAAATTTTTTATTTTAGCTTGAATTGCATTTATTATGCCAATCAAAAGGCCATCGTATAGTACCCTGTCGTGGAATTTCACGAGATCCTGATACCGGAGATTTTATAATAGTAATGGGAGAAATGGAAGAAGATTTGAGGCATTTTATTCTGAATAGGGAAAAGTCATTGACATGGAAAGAAGTATACATGATATTCTGGGATATTGCTACTGACCTCCGTCGACTACATGACGAAAATCTCATTCATCGTGATCTTCATTCAGGAAATATTCTCCGTAATTCGAAAAATATTTGGTACATTTCCGATTTAGGTCTATGTGGTCCACCAAATCAACCCACAAACACAATCTATGGCATTCTTCCTTACATTGCTCCCGAAGTAATTTCTGGTAAAGAATATACGGCTGCCGCAGATATTTACAGCTTTGGCATGCTCATGTATGAAATATGTGCTGGACAACCACCTTTCAGCGGACATGATTCCAATTTAATGTTTGATATTTTGAATGGAATACGGCCAACAATGCCGGTCTATCCGATTCCTCAGTTATATGAGAAATTAATGAAGCGGTGTTGGGATACCTACCCTGAAAATAGAATTATATTCAAATACTGCCAATTGCGACAACTCGGATCTTGTGTTTAATCATCCAATAAATAAAGAAACAACAATTTGGGAAAGCCTGAGTTCACTGCATCCGGTTTTTTCATTAAGTACAGGGAAGTTTATTCTTTAAGCTTTAACAAGACAAGAGTGTCAACTTAATTTCTGTTCTTAATTATTCTATAGAGTTTCGTCGACCCTATCGGATTTGATGTATATGGCCACGATTTTAATAATTGACTTGCATATACCTCCTCTGATTATGATGTCTCGGATGGACTTATTTGACAAGATCTTTTTTGCTTCCAT